GAAGTCCTCCTCCTGTCTCATTAAATGTGCAGCAGGAATCTTTCCCAAGTTTTGTTTGAGGGAAAAGGGAAGGAAATTTTTTTTTTTCCCCCAAAAAAAAAAAAAAAAAAAAAAAAACGTCCGTGTCAGGGAGCCATTATTTAATTTTTAATTCCATTAGCATCATTTTGAAAATGATGTTGGTTAAGGTTAAGCTCAGCACACAGCGGCTTTGTCTCAACCTTGTCTGCCCTGTCAAAGGGTATTTTACGGCTTGGCTTTGCAGTGCCACAGATGTTTTGCATCAGCTTCAGTAACAGATTTAATGCCACACCGGAGAGGGAAGACGTGGTTATGTAGCTCGATTTTGTGTGTGTGTGTGTGTGTGTGTGTAAATCAATCCAAAAACGAAATTATTAAATGTGGTTGGCGTCGACAGTGGAGTTTGCAGGTTCAATGTGATGTCACGTTGAGACTTGTGGCTAAAATTAGTGGCTCCTCTCGTTGCTTAGTCGTAGAGATGTGTTCTGATCCGTTGATTAAAGTTTAATTAGCGACAAGTTCAGGCTAAAAGCTTCCCACCAGCATTTTAACAGCGGACTTTAGTGGACGCCGAATAACAAATTGAGTTGGCTTCTTTGTCTGTCCATATTGATTTGCAGCTTCATCTTCAGAGGCAGGACTTTGAGTCCAGATCTCGTCTTTATGCACACAGAGTCCTGATGACAATCAAGGAAGATTACACTCATATTAGTGGCCTAAAATCTTTCAGTTTTTGTTTGTTTGTTTTTTCTTGCTTGATTCAGGCTTATGCTTCACATGCATTTCCAGAGGCTCAAATTTTCTATTTTTGATGGCCTTATCGCTGGCTCAGTCTGAGTGGTGAGAGTCCAAAGTTTCCTCCAAATGATGACTAAATCGCCTTGCAGCAAAAAAAAAAAAAAAAAAAAAAAGAAAACCAATAAAAAAAAAATCGCATAGGACTTGCTTGGGATTTTTGACGGGTTTAAGCCTCGTCGTTAAACTTGAGTACCCAGACCAGACCTAGCAGATTAGTGCATCACAGAAGAACATAGCAGTTATAGAGCGGAAAGGTTGTCATCCCTGCTGAGCATGTTCACATTTTCTCGTTAGAATAACGAATTCCAGTGTATTTTATGTGCACAAACAACAGAATGTGCAGCATAATTGAGAAAAAAAAATGATGCAGGGTTTTCAGATCTTCTGAACATTAAAAACTCAAAAAAAATAAAATGTGTTATGCATTTCTGTTCAGCCCCGGTCAGCTTGATACCCCTAAATAAAGTCCACTGCAACCAACTTAATGAATCTGGAAGTCGTTAAGTTTTAAACCGACTCCACCTAAGTTGAATTTAATTACAGTATCAGTCCAGTGGAGATTCGTCTTCAACAGCATCATGAAGACCAAGAAACAAACGAGACGCAAAAATATTAATGCTGCACATCATTTTGAGCATGTAATGATGCTGCGACTGTAGTGTTTACAGAATACAGAAGGAAAATCAGTTTTCTTTCCTGTCACTTGAAAGGGATTTTATCCAGTGATGATTCTGCTGCAGGCCCAGCAGCAGCAGCAGAGGCTAACAATGTTGATCCATTTTCATAGCTGCGTGTCACATCTGATTCCCCATCATCTGTAATATATAGAGCAACCGTTCTTGGCTACAGAAATGTTTGTTTTATTAAAGCCACCAAGCTTTTACTGAGCTCTAGAGTTCAACACAACCTAAGAAACTCATGTTGAGAGTGAACTCCACACGGGGACAGGCGTTCTCTGTCAAAACCCTTTTGTTTGCTTGCTGAATGATTTCAGAAAAAGAAAAAGAGAAAAAAAATGGGCCTTTGGGTTATGTTATTGTTCAAATCATAATTATGCAGAATTCAAATTACTTGTTAGAGCGCAAAGCTAAATGAAAGGAGCTGCTTTTGAATATTTTAGCTTTCAACTCTGAGTGCATATGCAGAATAACGAAGAGGCTTTTATGCTATAAAACAAAAAATCAAGCTTTAATAATGGTGTTAAAATAAGCCCAGTTCTGCCAAACTGCTGAAAATGTAATTTCCTTATGTTGTAATAAGCTCAAAACCTCCCATAACAGTAATCAGACTTGCTGTCACTTTGTGCAGTAAAGTCACTTTCATAGGTGTCACTCAAGTTGCAGAATGATCACCCGAGAGGCTGGAGCACCCTGATCGTCGCTCCCGCCTTCTGAATATACAGGCAATTAACAATCCGAAACATTTTTGTCAACCCCTGCCGACTTTAACATTTATTCAGATTTAAAGTCGGACACAGAGGTAAACAAAATGTTTTTTTGTTGTTGTTGGGTTTTTTTTATTCATTGTATGTATCTGGTTTTATGCATCAGTGGGAGATCTGAACCATAAAAAAGTGACAGCCACAAATGCCGCTGTTCATCCTTTATGCGAGAACCTGGTAACCCAAAACCACAAAGAAATAAACTCTCTGCTGCACAGAAAGGTTTTACAGTTCTGAGTGTTTTTGCTCGTCAATTTTTTTTTATAAATATATATTTGTTTTAATGGACATAAATCATTCCTAGGATACTGTTGTTATAATTCTCACCCATATTGTCCGTGAGAGCAGATGAAAAAAAAAAAAAACATCATTAACAAATGACAAGGACAAACAGACACACAGGATGGTTTATTCAAATGCCATCTGGTCTGAGCTGCTTATGAATATGCCGGTGTTTAACGGCACACCGCGTTGTTAGATGGATGCATGGTAATTGAAAAATATTTCTCTTTAGTCCTGGTGGCTAATTTTTTTTTTCCCCCATTGCGATCTGAAGAAAACTGTTTGAGTGAATTCACACATGTACTCGGTGCTATTTGAAAAAAAAATGTTTCTGGCCAGACGCGAACAGGATGATGAAACAAAAAGTATCGGCTTCTTTTGCTCAGTTCCTTTCATTTTTAGTCGGATTAGACAGAAACGCGTCGTTGATATTGTTGGAAAAGTTCCTATGCTTTGGTGAACTCTAAAATCAAGAAGCAAAGTTATCCCCCAGAAAGGCGTTTGGCGACTTTCTTCGTCTCACCTGTCTCTCTCCTCCTCTGCCTCCTTCCAGGTAATGCAGGTGGTGAGAGAGCAGATCATGCGAGCGCTCTCTGTGAAGCCTAATTCCTTGGACCAGTTCAAGAGTCGCCTGCAGAACCTGAGCTACACAGAGATCCTGAAGATACGTCAGTCCGAGAGGATGAATCAGGAAGATTTCCAGTCCCGGCCCATCTTGTACGTCTAAAAGGGGGGGGGGGGGGAAGGGTCAATTCCACTTTTTTTTTTTTTTCTTCCCAGATTGTAAAATCTTTCTAGTAAAAATTAATTTAATGCCGTTTCGAGTGAACGGTATAGACTTGGAGTATCTGCCGAATCCTATTGGTATTAACTGTTGCAGTCCATTTTTAAACATAACTCAATAGGTATTTGAACCAAAATAGTGCAAATATTCAAATCACCATAATCCTTAATGTCTCTGGAATAGCTTTTCCATTTTCTTTACATTTTTCATCTAAATGCCAAGCAAATGGCCTAAAACAGGCTGCACCAACTTGCTCTTTTTTTTTCCTTTTTTTTTTTGATGAATCTCTGCATTAAATTCTAAGTATCTGCAGGCGGCCTTCTTAGTCTGCGCTCAATTAATGGCCCTCTCAGAGAGCCCGTGTATCATTAATCCACGTTCTGTATCGGAGAACATTGTTCTGTCCTTGTTTTTAATGGAGTAGGTAGCAGTTTTGAGAAATCGTTGCGCTGAGAGAACTCGTCTCTGTCAGCGGTAATCAATGCTGCGCTAAGGGCTTATTGAATCGCCGTTGGGAGGGGAGAGTCCAAAACCTTCACAGACGCCTAATCCCACCGGACACAACGGCACACGAAGGAAATCAGAGAAAATCAGAACGAACTGAAATATTTACTTTAAAAAAAAAAATGCATTTTTATTTGTTCTTTCATTCCTTCTCTTTTGCTGCTTAATTCATCTATGAATGTCCTCTCCAGTCGAACTAATCAATGTTTTACAGATGCTTCATGATAGGTACTCCACAATCCCTGACGGTTTTTGCCTCATTTCTTTATTCCATCACCTTGCCAGGTGCCTTTCCTTTGTTCTGCCCCTGCGATCCGGTGCCGCGAGATTTTCCGCATTCACTTGAATTAGTCTATTTAAACTGAACCTGTAATAAGACAATGTGGACGAGGCGTTCAGAGATTTGTGGCGGCAGCAGAAAAGTGCCGCAGGAGAGATAATATTCACCTTGTTCACTAAAACCTTCAAGATTTCTGACCACAGATCCACATCTTGAGTGGGACGGTCAACGAACCAAACAAAGTAAAGGTGATGAAGAAGAAAGTTGAAATGATAAATGAAGGGTGCAGAAAAACAGAGATGCGCTCAAGATGTTCTTGCCGATAATCTGATTTGGTTAAAAACCCCGACCTGCTGATACCGATGGATATTGATTCTTCAAAGGGATGGAACAAAATTCCCAGTTGATTGACAGCCTGGACCAACATCCAATATCGGGTATTAGGAATGCTGTTGCCTTTTTAAATAGCTTCTCGCTCGTTTTGCGTTGCCTCGGATTTCATTTGAGCAGCTCACACACACTGAAAAAAATCTTATCTTTGAGTTGGAAAAAGGTAAGAGCTCGGGGCTGGTCAAATGTAAAATTGGCCAAATTGCGTCACCAAGCAATTACTCTGTGAATCGTTTTATTATTATTACACTTTTTTGCGTGAAATTTGCTTCGGATCTCGTCCAGATCTTGGACTGTTCCTCCTCCCTTCAGGCAGAAGGTCGTGCTGCTTCGGAGCTCATAAATCAATTCTGAGAATCAACTTCTCGACTTGGCTTGTGCATCTCATGAACTGAGCCCTCATAGTGCGTCTTTGATTTTTCTGTGTCCGTGCTTACATAAACGTTTTTTTTATTGTTGTAAATTTTAACTTCTCTCTGTAAACTGCTTTGGTCTCATTGATTTATTGCTGGTTTTTCCTCTGTGTCTCAGACTTGCCAAATTACAAACACTGGGATTGATTGTGCACGTGTATTTAATGTCTTTTAACACACAGATTATTTAGGAGATTTTTTTTTTTTTTGTTTTTTTTTTTTAGATGGCTAATTTAATCTTCTAGATACACTTTGCAGTTCAGGGCCACTTTTAACAGACTGCAGATAATTCCACAAATGAGTAATCTGTGTTTATTTTCCCACAGGGAGCTGAGAGAAAAGATCCAGCCAGAGATCATGGAGCTGATCAAACAGCAGAGGCTCAACCGTTTGTGCGAGGGGACCTGCTTTAGGAAAATCAGCAGTCGCAGGAGGCAAGGTGAGGCGCTCTGGACCCACACGTGGTTTTTAATTCACACTCCTCCATCCGCAAGGACTCCTTCTTCTGATTTCTTCCTCATATCCCTCCTTTTGATCTTCGTCACCGTCTCCTCGGTCCCTTTTCTTTGTGAAAACCAGGCACGACACATTTTATCAGCGGGGATCTTTGAGCCTCTGGACTGCTGCGAATCTGCACTCTTGATCACTTGCACAAATCCTCTGGCTCTCTCTCAACCTTTGAAGTCGAGAGACACGCAGTGGTACAGGGTGTCTTTTAAGGCATAAAAAATGCATCGCGAGTCTTTTCAAAAGTGCGTGCGCGACATCTTTCCTACTCCCATTTGCCCTTCGACACACCTCCGCGGCATGCAAACATAGCTAGAGTTGGGTTCATCCGAAGGCGCTAAAAACAAACGTTTTATAAAGTGAAAACATGAAGATCAGCGTAGTGATTTAACTGCAGATTCTGCAGCTGTAATAGCACTACTTTTCCTCAGTGATGGAAAATAAGAATGAACCACCAAGAATGTACACGTCTGCTCAGGTCGGAGTGCGTTAAAATCATCCAGTCTGACATTTTATATTCAATCTAAAAATGCAACAACCGTTGCCATAACCCCTCCAACTTCTGCTCTCTCAAATAACATGTTTTTTTTTTGTTTGTTAGTTTGTTTTTTTCGTTTTTCTTTTTGGAGGTGTTGTGATGGTCTCTCTGAGTCAGTTCATTTCAGCACTTTACATCCTCATTAGGATTTGTCTGGTCAGGTGTCATCTGGCCATAAGAGCAGGATTACATAATCATAAACTTCAAAGGAAGACAAAAGATGGCAAATCAGATTTGAGAGAGGATCCTGCATTAACGATCAGCTGTGATGTAAAACCCTCGCCGTCTTTGGTGCTGATATTCGGTGATGGGGGTTTTTTCTTCTCTGTTTTATTACCCTTTCATGGTTCTTATCTCCGTGAGGGAATCCAAATCTCACCTTGAAGTGTTTTGTGCAAAAAGGTTCGGAGCGGCTGTCGTTATTGCGTCCCACCTTTAAGCCACAGAACCCGCTCATCCTTACATGAGTCAAACTTTACGCCACCGTCGATACCTCGCCTCGCGGCTCAGAGGCATAACAGATTATCTTTAACCCTGAATGTATTTATTGCAGCTTGGTTTGACTTCCTCTCTTAGATTACCACTTATCCCGCTCCTCCGGAGCGTTGCTATCTCGGTTCTGTTTTAAGTGCTTTGCTTTTGGGTGAATCTGCTCAGCCTTCAAATTACTCCTCTCCTCTATCTGTCCTCCAACAACATGCACATATCCGTCTTTCCTCTCCTCTCTCAGCCTTTGTTCTCATGCCAGCTGAGCATGTGTGTAAATTTGGACTGCACTTTTTTTAGATGCCTTAAGTAAGCTGAATGACGATTAACAGTTTGTTACATCTCTATTTTTTTTTCTTTGCCGTTTTAAACCTGCCGCGGCTTCTTCTCATCTCACTGTTTAAAAATCCTCCATCCTGATCAGATGTATCCATAGCATTAAATATTAATTCACCTCAACTCCACTGTTGAATTATTCCCCTCTCTATCCTGTGCTGTCCATTTAAAACAAATATTTCTCTCGGAAAGCTTCTGTTCTTGAAGCGCACGAGGGGGAAGAAGGGGAAGTGCAGCGTCTCTCCAGCCTCCTAAGAGCGGTTTTATAGCTGGTAGCTGTATTTTCATCTCACCGAGGTGTACTTTATGAAAGGAAGAAAGTCTTGGCCAGAACTTTTTTTTGAATCTCATCTTTCATGGCTGCATGTTGTTGAATCAGTCGAAGCCAAGAGGTGAGAGAGTTCGCGCTCCGGAGCGCAGACACCTGCAGGCGCACCGATCCATCAGCCTGACGGCGAAGCCGAACAGTCGATCTCGTCTCCTCGCTTCGCAGTAACCAAGCGGATCTTTTTTCTTTCTTTTTTTTTTTTTATCAATCTGCTCCCTGTGGATCGGTACCACTCCACACCCGCCTGGAACCAGCCGGCTTGTTTTCAGCAATTAGGATATGGCAACTGTTCACACTCCAGCCAGAGCGTTGCTGTGTGTGTGCGTGTGTGTGTGTGTGTGTTTGCGTGCGTCTGTGTGTGTGTCCGCTCGCTGCCAGCGACAGTAAGCTTAATGCCCACTTTGGCAGAAAAAGATAAACTAAAAGAATATCGGACTTGCTGCAGAGTGGTGGAGAATTGCATCAAGCAACACTATGTAGAGTATAGGCCCCGATTCTTTAGTCTTAAAACCACTTTAGCTTCACTCTTTATCAACTTTGCACTCATTAAAATGTAGTCTGTGCCGGCGGATTTCCTTTTTTTTTTTTTTTTAATAGGATTTTCTTCTTACCCACCCTTTTTCTAATATTTTTTTAGTTTCATCATCCGGTTGCGTTTGCGTGAAGCTGCTGCTTCTCTGTGAAATTAATCTATGTTTAAAGCAGGGTATTGTCACAGCAATTTAGCCATGTATCTGCTTGTAAACCCTCTCAATTATTAATAGGGGAAAAACACCAAATCACATTTTCCTGCATGGAAATTTAACCGTTTTTTTCCTGCTGCCAGGGCAGACGTTCCCGTTATGAATCTGATTCATCCTTGAATTTAGCCTCTTCAGGTTTCTCTGAGATTTTTTTTTTCTTTTTTTAACCCTTGTCATTGGTTGACTTGAGGTTACCGGGTATTGCTGCTGATATTTGTGAAAACCGACTGTCTGTCGTCATGATCCCTCCCTTGTGGAGAAGATCTTCACCCGTCTGCGGGTTTTCCTCAAGGCTGTCTTTTGGCTCTGATCTTTTTTTTTTTCTTTTTTTTTTTTTTCTTTTTGTCAGCTAATTTTCTCTCTCCTCTTGATGACTCATGCTTTTTGCCAGCTGCTGTTTATTTCATAACTCGTCTAAATCCATCTCTTGTTGATTCTTCCAGATAAGTTCTGGTACTGCCGGCTGTCTCCGAATCATAAAGTCCTGCACTATGGAGATCTTGAGGAGAGCCCCCAGGGAGAAGTCCCCCATGACTCCTTACAGGACAAATGTGAGTATCCATCAAATTTAGCTGAAGGTTTAATTAACAGGTTTCCAAACTGTTTCCTGTCAATGCTATTTGAGTAGTTATAATTAAAGGATTGCTTTTTTTTGCACAAATAACACTAGAAACCTGTCATTCTGGTTCATTTGTCAATAATAATAAAACCAAAGTGTTTACTTCGAAAACAGGACTTCAATACTTTATTTTTTTTTTAAGTTGCACTAATTGCAGCTCTGATCTTTTTAGCATGCCTTGCATTGAAAGCTGTAATCACAGGATTCCAGGGCATTCTGGGAAAAATGTGACATTTGATCAGAACATTTTCTGATGAGCATTACAACGAGCATAAAACTGTATTATCCATAATCAAAATCATAATAAGCGGTGTTGATTCAGACTTGGTTACATAAAACACACCATGGCACAGCAGGTTGCAGGTACGGCCAACAATTCATGTGAAAATGCCTAATTTGAAACTCCAAGTATTGGATCAGGATAAAATTATTTAAACATTGAGAGGTCAGAATAAAGTAGAAGCTGCATTTTCTGATTTAGTTTCTTCGCTGTGATTATTTTTTTGTTTATTTTTAAGAATTTTTGCTAGAAATATTTATTAAGCATTAAAAACATATCCACAGAAGATTTAAATTAATATATATATATATATATATATATATATATATATATATATATATAATTTTTTTTTTTTTTTTTTATATATCGTGCAGCAATTTAAGGATCCCTGCACGATCCTTAAATTGTCATTAAATGACATTTCACCAGTGTCTGCATGGACTGGGAGCTTATATATTATCCGCTTTTACATGAAAAAAACATTTAAGACATGAGTTTTCATTAGACTTCTTTTTTTTAAACACTGCTAACGTTGACATTTTTTATGAGCATTAAATTGTCAAACTTTATAGCCTACTGTCTTGCCTATAAGGAATGATGTTGATTAATATCATGTTCACTCTTTTTATATATATATATATATATATATATACACACACACACACATCACCATACTTGGGTTTGGAGAAATCTTTTAATTTGATCAATATGTTTCTTCGGACTGGAAGTAGTATTACCAATTTGAGGTGTCAGAGTTATAAATTGGCAAATTGTCTGTAGAAACATACAAGCAGCTGGTCAGCAGGTATAAAAAGGACCTGATTGATATTTTGCCCAATAAATATGTTTTTGTGGCTTGTTGAGAAATATTTTCAACATCCCGGCTTTGCTGGGAAACAATATCCCTTCTACGTTGTCCTCTTGACGTTTGGGAGATGCCGGTCTCATTGCCCCATAAGCAACAAGGTTCTCGGCTGAAACATAATAATTTTATGTTTCATTCTTCCAGGAGTATGAATCATTTTCCCCTTAACTGTCAGTGCAGATTGAATACCCTTTTCTTATTTTTTTTTTTTTTAGCCTTAGTTTTTACTTGGATTTTAATTACTCGAATTAACCAAGCAGCCATCTGGGAGGGCAGAGTTGTGTGTGTTGTTGTTGTTGTTGTTGTTAACTGTCATCTGTCCTCTCTGCAGTGCCTGTAGCTGATATCAAAGCTGTTATCACTGGCAAAGACTGTCCTCACATGAAGGAAAAAGGAGCCCTCAAGCAAAACAAGGTGTGTGTTCAGTGTTTGCGTGTGCATGTGAACACATGCAAGCGCCTGGGTGGGTGTGTATCCAGCTAAGAAAACATGGGTGTGTGTGTGTGTGTGTGTGTGTGTGTGTAATAGAGAGAGAGAGAGAGAGAGAGAGAGAGAGGTTGTGTAACATGATGTCAGTTACATAAATTCTGCTTTTGGAAATAACACAATAACTTACATCTCAGTGGTTTTCACAGAGCCAAACGCATTCATCAGCAGCGTTTTGTTCACATAAATGACTAAATAGTTTGTTGTTGACTGAAATCAGTCGAGTTTTTTTTCCCCCCACTCCTGTTCTAATATGTCAGTAACACGAGCATTCACTCTGGAGCTTTAACCAGAATGAAAGCTCCGTCTTGTCTCCATCCATGTACACATCATTCAGTAATTTGCCCCTGCAGACCTTCATCCCCCACCCACAGGACTCCCTTATGTTACGTCTTGTACTGTAGACAAAGAAAGCAGCCGCCCGTTATATCCCTGTTAATTCTACACTTTTCAGACTTTCATTTTAACCAAAAAGTCACGCACGTTTTCCTTCCACTTCACAATTATGTTCATCTTTGTGTTCTATCCTTTAAAAACCCAGTCAAATACATCAGTTGTGAGGATAATAAATGTGGAAAAACGTCAAGGAGCGTGAATACTTTTGCGAGGCACTGTGTATAATGATGAGACTCAAATAAAATGTCAGAGTTTTAGACGTTTTAATGTCTTTCTGACTAAGAAAGGAAAATATGATGTACTTTTGCCCGGACTAGCCTGCATGTCTTTGTTTTCAGCAGCGCTAGCTGTACAGCTCTATGGGTTGCCGACTTCTTATCATTTCATCCATCGGCTAAATATCTCTTCCAACGTGGATCGTTAAGCGCTTATAAAGAGACATGCAAATGCAGTAATACAGCATTTTTTTGGTTTTACAGTTCTTTAAAGCTATTGAGCCAAAACCCCCTTTGTTAGTAAAACACGCCTGCTTGGGACAGCGACTATTAAACGTACGGAGCATTTATTCTCTCGCTCAAAAAGCAGAGCGTTTTTCCCTCTGAAACAAATGAACTGAAGCTGCATTATTTATTATCTGCCCAGAAAGTGTGGCTGGGCTGCAGCCTCAGACTAAATGTTTAATTATCTGCTGCCTGAATCCAGACGCAGAGTATACAGGTGAAATTGGTATTGGATTCCTGCTCTAGTCCACGCTGCATGTCGCGTTCCTCTGAGTTTTGAAATCCTGGTGTCTTCAGACACAGCGGAGGGCGAACGCTACATGGTTTTATGTCAGTCATATTCTGAAACTCATCTGTTTTTCATCCAGTACAGTCTGTAATATAGACAAATCTCATATTTTTCTAGCTGACCCTTTGTATTTTAAATTCTTTTACTCATTTGGATGCTAAAAACAAGCCGCTGATTTTTTTTTTTTTTTCCTGCAGCATTTTCTGAAAGTCTGATGTCATATTGCATGGTGGAAATTGTTTTTTTGCATGCCAGTTCAGACGTGTCCTCTGTATTAGCTATTGTACCCCCTTCTGTGAGGTTTCCACAAGAACATATATCGCCTTGCTCAGTGGATAAAGATAGTTAATGGTTTCTGAAGGATAGCAGGATCACAACAGTTCAGCATATTTACCGCACATCACACACAAAAACATTACTTTTAATCTGTAATATTTGTTGCTATGCTTGAAATCATGTCGCATAGTTTTCCCATTGCCCTCCTAAATTCACAGATTTGTGCTACGACTCCCCGCCTACCGTTTCGTTTTCCCCTCTTCCTCGCATATTCCATTTCTGTCGACGACTCCGGTGCCGTTTTTGCACAGTTTCCCCAGCGCTCATCCTCGTCTGCTTTCTGCCCCGTCCTCTCTGCAGGAGGTGTTGGAGCTGGCTTTCTCTGTCCTCTACGAGTCGGATGAGTACTTGAACTTCATCGCTCCTGACAAGCATGAGGTAAGTCGGCAGAGGTCGACTTGGTGGCTGTTGGCTGCGTCAGACAGAATAAGCGTGTTTGATGAAGACAGGGACAGGCAGGTTTCTAAATATAAATCCACCGAGTGTCATATTTAGTTGATAATACAAGTGTTTAAGTGATGACAGGGACGTACGACACTCGAGGCACTGATTTGTTTAGGTCCTACCTCTGTCTTTCTGTCTGAGTAAACGCTTGTCTTCGGGATGTTTTCAAGCACTTTTAAAACAGTTTTGAGTATAAAAGTAATTTGAAGTGAATGTAAAAACTGAAGTCGAATTGCATGTCCAATAATTGCTATGAAAAAAAAGTATTTGCACCCTTTCAAATTTGTTTGCTTTTTTTTTTTGTCACAACTTAAATTTGGAGAGTTTTCCAGTGTGGTTGGTCTGCTTAAGGTCACATCACAGAATTTCCATTGGATTTAGGTCCAAACTTTGACTGGACCACTACAAAACCTTCATGATTTTTTTTTTTTTTATTCAGCAATAAACCTGCAGGTGTCCTTTAGATAATTGGCCTGCTGCAAACACAAATGTCCCAAAGGTCACCAGAAATCCTCCTTAAGGATTTTCTGGTAGAGAGAAGAATTGATGAGAATCAGGTGGGAAGCAGTGGTCAGGCTACTGGAGTCCCAAATCCTTGGAAAGGTTTTCTTCATGGCTACCAGCAGGTCGTCTACGGCCGATTTCCCGATTCCAGAGGTTTCTCAGTAATCAGGCCTCGGCAGAGTGACACTGAACTCCACTTCTGCTGTTCACAGCAGTTGTTTCCTGATTCAACAAGGGAGATGTCTAATATTAAAATTTGTCTTAGATCTGAAACATTTTAGAGGGTTGGGGAAAAAAAAATGCAAAAAGAGAGGAAATCTGTTTGGGGTAAAGACTTTTTTACGTCACCGTATGGCATTTGCCTCGATGCAGCATCTGTTTGTCGACAGGAAAGAAGTTGATTGGAAAAGTCTGATTGTGTTATCAAGTCTAAACTGTAGGAAACGAGAGCCGAAGTCTGTCGTAATGAGGATTTTCAGCCCAGCACTGTTGAACTGAAGTATATTTTATAGACAACGTCTTTGTTCCTTGGATTAATTTCAATGCGATGCTTTGGTTCGGCCCGTCTCTCTGCAGTACTGCGTATGGACGGATGGTCTCAACGCTCTCCTGGGGAAGGAGATGACCAGTGACTACACCAAAACAGACATGGACACCCTGCTCTCCATGGAGATGAAGCTTCGCCTGCTGGATCTAGAAAACATCCAGATTCCTGAGGCGCCTCCCCCGATTCCCAAAGAACCTAGCAACTATGACTTTGTTTACGACTGTAACTAGACCTGCACTCCCCCCGAAAAGCCTGAACCCCCTTCCCCCGCCCTCCCAAAACCCAGTCTGCACCGTCTGTATTCACTGGACCAACCAAGCCCCTCTTTTCTCAAATACTGGAAGAAGCATAAAGAAAAAGTGAGTGATAATGGTTAAAACGAACTCTAGGCGAGCTCTCGTTTCTTATCAGAGCTTTATAAGAGGAAAAATAGTAAATATTGATGTTAAATATTTGCACTTGATGGACCGAGGGAGTCAGTGCAGAGTCATCAGCCAGGGAGCGTTTGTTTGTTGCGTCTCCACATCGCCACCATCGCTTTCCTCCTGTGACCTGATGTTTCCAAACTTTCTCTTTTTCTTCCTTCCTGCCCAGCCTCTTGCTGTCTTCTTGCTTCTGTAGACAAATGCGTTGAAATTTCATTCTCTTCACCTCCTTTGTTTTTTTTTGTTTTTTGTTTTTTAGGTTTTTGTTACGTTCTTTTTTTTATTTTATTTTATTTTATTTTCCTCAGGGTTTTCTTGTGAGGGACAAAGATTGCAGAGATCAGAGATGACAATTTTGTAAATGGAGAGGATTTTGTGTCACCTTGTCAGAAGTATTTATATTTTGTCACATTTCCACTTACTTTGTGGCAGCTAAATGTTTTGCAGCTAAATGTTTTGGATCTCGCCCAGCGGAGCCCATAGTTCATTAAAATACTTCTTTGTCTTTGCCCCAGTCTCACTTAACACACACTGAAGACTGTTCAAATAAGGTGATTCTCAAAATCCGACCACTTTACCACAGTATTTTTTATACACACGTTGATGTTATTGAAAACCACAGCTGCTCGTTGCTCATTGTACATACGTACACAGTGGCAGTGCCATCAGACATCTGTAAGAGAGCCGCCATCGTTAGACGACATACTCTCATCTTTTTCCTAATTTGAGTCTTTTTTTGTTTTGTTTTGTTTTGTTTTTATTTTGAAGACTGCTGTAAACGACAACATTCCTAAGCAATATCGGAGCTTTTGTTTTGTTTTGTCATGTGTAATGTGGTCATTTAGTAATTTTTAAAATTGTGAACAGCCTGGTTGTGGGTGCTTAGGTAAAGGGAATTTGACTTTTTCATTTCTCTCTGCGTATTTTTCAGACTAATGAAGGCCACAAAGTTGAGAATTTATGTATTTTTTTAATTTAAGGAAGAAAAAAGGAAGCATCATTTTTATTCCTAGTATGATTTATATATTTTTGTCCTTCCTATTTAATGCCTTCTTATCTTCATTAGAATTTTTTTCAAAGCCCCTAAAACTGCTGTTTACATTAAAACATATATTAAAAAAAATATCTGTCTTCTCTTCATTTATTAGCAGGTTTAGCACACAGTATGTTTAAATAAGCTTAATTTCAACATATCAGAGTTCGTGAACTTGTTTTAATTGTCCCTATTGCAATACAGGGTGGAAAATTCCCAGTGTTTTACAGTGAAGGGATGGAATAACTAACTTTTTGCCATGACGTCACCCCGTTTTCTTTTGGCATACCTAATGATGACATAACATCTGAGAGGTCCCCAAGTGGCCAAATAATTACTAGGTCGGGCTGCCATGATGTTGCAGCTAGTCGCAATCTCTACTTTTGACACTTTAAGGATGTCTTAAATTCACTTCACCTTCAATCACTGATTGTCATCATTGTCCATCATCAAACCTCCAGCTTTTCACAATCAATTGCAAGCTAGACAAAAAAAAAAAAATCATACAGTAGCTGACGACACTTCCAAGATCTCCAGTGTCCGTGAATCAATGTCATCTGTCATCTTTGCTAGCTGCTGTATTTTTTATTTATTTTTTGGTGGGATTTGACTAAAAAGTACCCAAAGAGTCTGATTCTCTGCAGATCACTAAACCGCCCTCTTCTGTTTGATCAAAACAGTTTTGATCTATTTTGGTTCAGAGTAAAGGGAACACATCCGGGGAAAAAAAAAAAAAAAAGTCTGCTGTGCTTTCTGCTAGTCTGGAGCTAATTCTGGTGAGATTCCCTTGAAGTTTCTATGTTTGAAAGACAGCAGCAGTTCATGAATCATTTGGGATGATTGATGATGAGGAGGAGGAAGTACTAATTCAAGAAAGGCCCTTTTTCTGGTGGGAAATGAGTATGTTCCCTTAATACACCTGAGACCTAAAAACATCTGAGGAAATTTAAAAGATAAACTGACTCGTTTCTGTATTTTTACGGTGCTCTTTGTGTATACACGACTTTGTCTCATAGCAGGTGCTTGAGACATTGATTAAGGGATGGACACTCCCACTGGACCGTTTCTGTTGTCCTCCCTCGATGTGTGGGACTGAAGCGAGACCACGGCGAGCTAAAACCATGTTCCTCCTGCTATTTTTATATCTACAGAAACCTGCAAGTGCTTACTGGAAAAATAAATTAGGAAAAATAAAGTCAAGTAAAATTTGAAGCCTTTCTCCAGAAGAAGGGATATTTTCGGCGAAAAATAATTTGAACTTCTAAAACTTGCAGAGCCATTTTTCTCTTTATCTGGCTCATATGATTGAGTTGGGATTTCATTTCAGAATAGATTATATTCTTAAATCTTAAAATAATAACTAGCAACATTTGCATTTCCTGTGAAAATGCCGTGTGAATGCTGTGAAATGAATGTTTTTAGTGAAAATTGCAGAAGAATTTGAAGTCGACGTCAAAAGAGTTGCAGAAGTGCAACAAATGGGAGCAGCAGAATACAAAATCCTGTGAAAAGCTGGGCTCTTAAAAAAATAATCTCTCATCTGATTGGTGTGTTTTGTGACAGACCAGTCACTTTTATGTATTTGGAACATAAAACCTGATGTTGCTTTGGTAATTTGGTTGATTGTTGTTGCATTAGACTGTGTCTGAGTGAAACGTGACACAATTTTCAAACTTCTAGTTTCCAGATACCGCTGACCTGCAGGTTTTAGATGTTCCCTTTAAAATTGGGTATTAAGGAGCTTTTATATCAGAATAACCTTAAAAAGAGCTACAGCTGTTTCTGCTTTGTCTTATCCATATTCATCCTACCTAAACAGGTAAGTTTGTCTGTCTATTAAAGATTAAAGTATGCTGACTTTCTAAAGGCCAGCTGGTAGGCAGAGTTTTTTAAGACATTAATGATTCCACTTGTGTTTTTTTCCCCCAGCCTAACTCCTGCCAGTTACTCGTCTACTTCTACTTGGTGAGGCCACAAAAATACCGGAGTTGTATTTTTAATTGTCAAAATAGTTCATATATTACTATTCAGTGTTGTTCTATCAGATTTTTGTCCTGCTACATCTGCAGCAGACGTAGCAGGTCCAAGAGGGAATTTCTGACGTCCTTCTTCCCTGGAAACATGATTAAACTCATCACAGTGGATCAGGAATAGTAGGGAGTTCTTGTTCTCCTTCCAGTGTGGCTTACATGGAAAACTTCCCAATGGACTCATCCTGATTAGATACCCAAACCACCTCAGCTGATTTCTTTCATTTTAATTCACAAAAGCTACATTTTGGATTATAAGTTAAGCACATTTCATCTATATATTGTATGAAACCAAAAAAAATAAAAGGTCCAACACCAGATTAAAAACTATTTTTTTTTCTGTACTTTCAGAATATTTAAGCACAAAATCATTTTGAACTACTTATGTAATTCTTATTAAAAGGTAACGTGTATGTGTGTGTTTTTTGTTTGTTTTATAACATTTTGTCATTTTGAGAACCGAAGATGAGAAACGTCACAAAAATCAAGCATTTTTACATACTCCGTTTTCTTTTTCTATACCAATTCAGACATGGAAAATGGTCAAATAAAATTCAAAACAAAACCTTCATACAAAACCTCCACACTAAATAATGGCGATCAGACGTGCAAATCAATTCAATCATATTTTAATTACATTTTAGAATCTCACAAGATCTGAAAATTTACATATGTGCAATAATTACATTTTAAATCTCTTATTTCACCACATCGGTACACAAAATGTACAAACAATCTATAAACCAAACGTTTAAGACGAATGCTTGCCATCAGGCTAACGTGACGCGCTGTCCTGGCGTAAACGTGGGAGGCGATTTGTCGTTCGAACCCCCAAAACTTTCATACCTAAAGAGGGAAACAGAGTTTAGGTGAGGAAAAACTGAAAATAATGCAAGTGCAAATATTTCATTAGAGTTAAACTGTGATTAAGTGGCTCAATTTCTCCACAGCGACAACGAGCAATCATAAACTTTGATTATATTGCTTTTATCACTATAATCATTCTGCAGGAGAGACTAGATCTATTTAAAGACATCACTGCAGTGATGTGAGAGTCTCCTCTGGTTTCCCAGTACTCACAGTTTGGTGTACTTGCCCCAGTCGGCCGGGCTGAGAGACGGTCTGGTCACAGCTAAGGCAGAACTAATGTGAGCCTGAGACAGCAGGAGTCCTGGCTGGCTGGAGGCTGGACGCGTCCACACAAACTCATCCTATACAGAAAGAAACACAGATGCAAGCTTCAATCTGATGTTGCTTCTATTAGAAACGAGTAGACGAGTGCGGCGTTGAAAACCGATGCTGAAATACACACAGAGTAATTCATCTGAAGTCAGAAGATTGGTGAGAATAGCAGATGACTGCTGGAAATAACAGCATTTACGGGGAGGTTAATACGCATTTTCACATACGTTTCCTTTCCTGTAGCTGTTCTTGATGTTTTTGATGTCCTGCTGCAGCCGCTCCAGCTGCTCGGGGCCGAGCTCTTTGTATCCGGTCTGGATGGAGGGCATGTAAGCTGGAGCGAGTCCGCTGACCGGGTCTCTGGAGTTGGGTCCAGAGGCGCACAGGGATTCCTGTTAAACACACAGATGTCAAACGGAGACTTTATTTGCTCCGTTTTATAGCAACCAAAGTCCTGGGCCAAGATTAAATGGATTTGTGGTCATTATTAAAAGAGAGGCAACAGTGAAGAAAGGTTAGAGGTCCAGGGAGAAGATGCAGTGACATCTAGAGGCTACCTCTAAAAACTTTTCCTTCAGATTCAGTCGACTTTCTTTACAAACAGGTTCGAAAACGCTGCTCAGATGAAGCACCCACAACGCCTTGCAGAAGGACGTGCATCTATTACGAGTTTGATAAATGCGTTACATTAAAACATCTAAACTTTGGTGAATGTTATGTCACAGAAAGATACAAAGTGGAAATTTTAATGGCGAGTGAAAATATTTCAGTTTTTTTGTTTGTTTGTTTTTTTCACATTTTTGTGAAAAAAAAAAAAAAAAAACATCTGAAAACCAATGCATCATTTTAAAATCCCAAAAACACGTGGAAACATGAAGTACTTTCACTTACGCATTATCAACTGTGACAATACCTGAAGTGAGACATGTGGACACCGGCTCTTAGATGACGCAGCTGGAACTCACCTCTTTTGAAACCGGTGAGTTTCCAGTCTCCGACTCAAAGGAACTTCCAAAGTAAAACCTCCAGACGTTACTGCGGCGCTCCTCGTGTTCGCCGTGAAGCTCCGCGGGCTCAACA